CCGTGAACTCATTTGAATTTTAGGCTCTGAGGAGCTTCACTGCAGAGATTAGAATATATTATATGGGTAATGTTTTACACAGAGTGAATAGAGGGGGAAGTCTCTTTCACATATTCACCAATAAAACTGTGAAGAACACTCACATTACGCAGGTCTTCGGGTAATGACTGATCAGGCTGCATCTTACAGATCGCCTTTGCTCTCTTCAACAGCCCTTTGCATTGGTCTGTCAGCTGCACCTTTCTCTGCTCCAGACGGCTGCATTTTTGCTTAAAAAAACCCAAACATGACAAGTAAGCATAAATCTGCGATACAAAACCTCCCGATCCTCAGACGAACAAGCTCCCCATCTAAATACTTACATCAGTGGTCCTCAGCTCAGAGGCACCTTCTCTGCAGTCATTCTCCAGCTTGTTCTTCTCTGCCGTCAGCCCCACCGTCTCCAACGCCAGATGCACCTTCTCCATCGTCAGCTTGGCTCTCAGCTGAAGGTCATGCAGACAAGTGAATAGAAAAAAATGCAATCGTGAAATTATTAAATCGTAGATGTTTTCAATAATATCTGCTATAAAGATGATCTAAAAACAGAGAAGGGCTTAATGCCATTCTACCACAGCTAACACAAGCAATGCAGTCAGGTTCCCTTATTCATACCTTCATTTGGGCCATGAATGCAGTCACTATGGTCACTTTCTCAGCATTTACAGCTGCAATTTTCTCTTTAGTCTCCTCCTCAATCTTTGTCAGGTCAATAATATTCTGCTCCATCTGCTTCAGACTAAACACAGAGACAGATGAGTTTTTGAAATCTCATAACCAAGCTGATGCCTCTGTGAAGATCATTTAAGACATATGACAAAAGTCACTGTTAAGCATTTTGTCCCTTTAAATGAAGCTTACCTGTCCTGTTTGGTACTAATTTTCTGCTCCAGTTGTCGTTTTTTCCCCTTTAGTTCAGAGAGACCCTTCTTCTCTGCCAACAGCTCATTGTCACGGCGGTCCAGTGCGACTGCTTCCTTCTGCAAGGCCTTCATCCGCTCGTCGATGTCTCGCAGCTTTGACTCACAGGACTGGTCGCACAGGAGAATGAAGCACATGTTTAAAAAAAGTTTGCAGAAAACAAGTGAAAAGTAGGTCACCTAAGTTTTACTAAAGTGTGCAGATACACACAAAACTTTTTTTCATCAGTTTTGCATGAAGGGTTTTTGGTAATTTCCCCCTTAAAACAAACCCGGCTCATTTTGCCTGCCTAGTATGGTCCAAATTGCCTAACACTCAAGCAATCAACCCCCTCGATCGGACATGCCCCTCAGTGTTTCAGAGCACATTTATTAACAATTTTAAAACCTAATCTTATACACTTGGTGAATTTTGTTAATCCTTGAGTGGTTTAAAGCACATTTTTCTGTTACATGACAAACTCAAAGCGCACATTTATTACTGCTTTACACGGACTTTAAGCAATATAATATACTGAAATGTCTTGAGGTGCTGCTGTCGTTCCAGCTCTCTTCACACAACTGTTTCCTACCTTCATCTGCTGCTCTAGCTGCCGTTTCTCTTCAGCATCCACAGTGATGGTGAGGTACTGGGAAGGGTGCACCACAGAGTTGCTGGTGCTTATCTTGTTTGAGTAAAAGGACCTTTTGACAGTGTACCTCTCCTCTGTTGTGTACAGCACCTTGAGGTAGGGCTCCTCAATCACCTGAACAAGACAGATCGGGGTCAGTGTCAAAGTCTTTCCACCACAAAAGCAATAAATACAACCAAAGTTAAAAGCGACGGACTCCCAGGAGATTTTGATGTTAAGGAGAACAATGTGGGGTTTTATTAGTTTACATTAAGAAGCTTTTTTTTTTTGAAGACAAGCGTACCGTTTTAATCATGGATTTGGTTCGCTCATTGCCCACTGGCACGTCATGCACCCTGTACTGGTGACAGAGGTAACTCATGACCTCATCGGGGGCGTCAAACATCTCTCGGAGGTAGGTGAAGAACCCAAAACGCCTGAAAGCCAGTAAGAAGAAGTAAAAAGATGCAGCAGATGCACGGATACATCAGGATAAAAAAGAACAACAACAACAACAAAAAAACAATACTGTATCGATTTTTTAAAAACTGAACTAAATTTATTTTCTCTCACCTCAGGGACTCAATATTTCGGGATGGCGGTCGCTTAGAACATGACTCCTCCGGAGCACAGATGGAGTTCACCTTCAAGTTCATCTTGTCACGGACCTGAGGGTCACCACAGATCAAACACATCATTAGCTTCACTAACATTTCTAATCGGATGAAATATTTTCCTCCAAGCAGGCGACGTCGGCAGCCTGCAGCATTCTGACCTCGATCATAAACTTCTCCATGTCGTCTTTCCTCTGGAAAACGAACGCACGGAGGTCGTGGAATGAGATGTGGTTCTCCACATACTTAGCAAAGCGGTGATCCTTCACATTGATCTGTAAAATAGAGAGCGAGTTAACAAAAGTAAACCAATCCAAACACTTAACAAGGAAGTCTTCGTTTATCCTGTGAGATGCAATGTGTTTGGTGTTTGGTAGGGTGGTTCGGTATCACATCATCTGATATAATGCCAGTTATGAATTTTTAAGCGATGGAAAAGTGTCTCATCACACCTCGTGCCACTCTGATGGTGATTCAGCAGCTAAAAAAGGAGCTACTACAACAAACTCCAGCAGAGCACAACATTAAGAAAACTGTTCCCGCTGAAGGTGGAAAGAAACTTGTTTCACCACTTCAGTCAAACAACAGAGACATTTGCAAGTTACACCTGAATTATACTTCTGTGTCAGAGCTACATTATAACTTATGCCATAACCAGAATCCCATTTTAGCCCTAATCACTGAACTGGGAGTTCTGGCAACACTGAATAGGGTGTGTTCATTCTTCCTCTTTTGCACTAAATAGTGCCTGAGCCAATTTAAAGTAGCACCTTGTATACGATATTCAAATGATAAACACACACACTAGTGTTAGGCAACATGCTTACCCTCCCATCAAGGCCCAGCTACACCAGTTCACGTGTTTTGGCACTGCCAACAATTGAACAGTACTTGGAAGAACATTTTCGAGGCCCTGCCATTGTTGCAGAATCACTGTAGTACCTCTCCATCTTCAGAGTAACTCAGAGAGTACCTTAGAAAAATACTTTCTATGCTGCAGTTAGAAAAAGTGAGGTAGAACAGAGTGAACTCTCTGTGAAACTTTTGAGTGACTCAGTCATCATTGAATATGTTAAAAACAGCCATAAAATGCATCCATTGTTTGTATTGTGGTTTAAACATTTAAACTGATTGCGAGTAAACGAGAAGCCCACCCCATTCATCTGTACTATATTTGTCTTGTGAATATCCACCCTAGTGGGTTTTTCTTTTTCTTTGTCTCTTGTAGCTGTAAAATCAGGGCTGGGTGTGGGGAATGTTTTTATTGTTTTTCTCTCTTATCAGAAAACTAAAAATAACGTTTAAGAATTTTCATGAAAAGCACCACATAGGCTACTTTCGTTCTAGTGTCACTGTATATAATGCTGTGTCACTACTATTGCACAATAATGCTGCTGGCACCCTGTGGCAATGCAGTCATGTTCTGAAGGAGCTAGTCTGCCAGCAACGACAGCAGCTTGTTGGGAAAAAAAAGAAAGGAAAATATATTTCATTTTGTTTATACTAATAAATTCAGCTGAGTGCAAGCTGCAATCACTGATAAAACATTATTCAGTTTTTTTATAACATCCGTGAAATATCATGATATAATTCTGAGGCTATATCACCCACCCCTCTTGAAACATTTATAAGCAGTATATGATCATTTAATAAGTGGCTTTTCTCAACTGGAAAACAGAAACATGGCTGAAATTCATCATTAAATATGGAGAAAGAATCGTGGATTTAAATGCTTTTAGATACGAGTTGTTTGTTAAATCGGAACCTGATCTCATGAGTTTGTCTGGGGGTTTTTTTCACTTCTATAATTTAGGGCTGTTGAAAACACATTCGCACACTTCCATCTAAACTGCACGTGAAACATCTGCATAGCTTCTAAATGCTACAGAGAGCGGTTTACGTGCAGCACGTCCTGTCACAGTTCAGTGAAACGCACCACCAGCATCATGGGCTCGTGGACGTTTCCACGAAAGAGTTGCTTGTTCTGTCTGAGCCACTGGAGGGCAGCGTGTGTGTCCCTGTGACGTCCTCGCAGCTTCTCCACTTTGGCATTCATCATGTTGTTCATGTCGTTGAGCTTCTTCTCCAACACTGATAAAGAAAATAGAATAGAATCTACATGTAAAGCTGTTGCACATAATGTGCTTTTGTCAGCGAAATGTGCGCCAAAAGAAAGAAAACAAAAGAAGTCATCTTTGTTTATGCAAATTGTTTTGGGAAGCTCACTTCTAGATTCAGCACAAAGGTTGTCCTTCTCCCTGCGCAGGTCGCCCTTCTCCCCTTCGATCTTGGCTCTCTCCTCCTGAATGCGCCTCAGATCAGCGTTGACGGCGTTGATGCGCGGGGTTACATCCGGCTGGTCGCCAACTTTGGCAAGCTCCGCCTTCAGGTCTTCGATGGTTCTTCTGGTGTTGCTGATTCGCTTCTGGTGGTCTTCCTCCTCCATCTGCTTAAGTCTGCATTTTTGTTTAATATCGTCAATCTGCAGCGAGGAGTGGAGAGAGCAGTCGTGTATTAACAAAAGTCTGCTTTATATCAATTAAGTACAAAGATAAAAAGCACAACGTATTATTAATTTAGTCTGTACCAAATGTACAAACAAAAACACAGCCGCACCTCTTTGTTTTTCCGATCCAGCTGATCTTGTTTCTGTTTGCACTTCAGCGAGGCTTCTTTGATGGCAGCAGTCTGAAAAACAACAACCTCATCTTCACCACCATCATTACAGGACTTGTGAACTGAAATTGCAATATGAACTTATTTTACAGTCTCTAATTCAGAGTTCCTCTACTACACAAGCATCATCATTTATTTATATAGCACTTTAAAAGCACACCTGGTAGACCAAAGTGCTGTACAATACAAATATGCATATAGTAATAAGATAGCAGAAACCAGACATAGCAATAAAATTAATTTTTTAAAAAGTCAGTTACCCACAGAGTTAAAAGCCAGGGAATAAAAATAGGTTTTTAATAAGGACTTAAAAACTGGCACTGATGCAGCCTGTCTAATATGGAGAGGAAGGTTATTCCAAAGCATCGGCGCTGCAACAGAGAACGCTCGGTCTCCTCCAAGTTTCAGCCGTGACTTTGGGACCGAAAGCAGCAACAGCTCAGCTGACCGAAGGGAACGAGTGGGGACGTGGGGCTTCAACAAGTCAAACAAATAAACAGGTGCCAAACCATTTAGAGATTTAAAAACCAATAAAAGAACTTTAAAACGGATTCTAAATTGTATTGAATAAATTTAGAAAAAAATAATGTATCCCTGCATCTGCTCGTGAAACTGGACCCGTTACAGAGTACCAGCCTTTGATTTGTCACCTTATCCTTTATCTGTGCCTCTGTTGGCTTCAGCTGCTCGTCAATCTGTTGGATCTTCTTCACCATGGGTGCCTGGGTCTGCTTCAGGCTTGAAAGCTGCTTTCTGGCCTCGTCGCGCTCCTTCTTCACACCCTCAAGTTCCTTACGGGTGGTCTCGTACTCCTAATATCACAAGGAAACAGAAACAGCTTACACAGTTAATTCGGTTTCTCTCTCCACATGTGCGCTGTGCTCATTTCTCTTGTTTACACTCGACCACTCACCACCCATGGTTTCTTCTTCTCGAGCAACTCGATTACATCCAGATGCCTCTTTTTTTCGTAGTAACGGTTTACATCGTGTTTATTCCTTTCATTTCGCTGCTTGGCTTTCTCCAGGAAGCTTGCTTTCTCCTTCACAACGTTCTACAGAGAAGCAAAGAGCCATGTTGCCGTTACATGTCTTTAAGAGGAGGACAACTTAAAAAACGAACATGAATGAATTTTGTTGCAGTTTTTTCTTCTTATTTCTACCACATCAAACTTTGCCTGTTGGATCACTGGCTTTGAGCTTACCTCCAGTTCTCGTTCTTTATTGCGGAAGTTTTTGAGCTCACAGTGGTATTCATACATCTCTGGTGGGCCCACTGACTTCTCAGTTGCTTCCAGCAACTCAATTTTGGACATCTTGGCAAATTCGCCCACTTTTTCCTGCGTGGGGGGAAAAAGCCAGTAAAACAGTGATGAAACTGTATATTTTTGCATCTGTGCAGCTTTATGTTGCAGATGTATAAACATACCTGAGGTAGAAACTGACAGAGGTTGCTGACTTGGATGCGCAGAGCTTTGACTTCCTCTTCCACTGCCTTCTGGCTGCACTGCCGATCATTCAACATCCACAGAGACTGATTGTTCTCCGCATGTATCTCTCTAAAAATCACCACATTACCACCTCTTTTGTACCTTCAAAAACAAAAACAAAGGCTAGCGTTTAGAGTCATATCACTATGCTGAACATGATAACGCAGGTGATGTAACAACTTCTGGCAAATTTTCATTTCATTTTTGAAAAGATGAGGGTTCAGAATTCAAACTTCTTGTCTGAAAAGATTCATGAAGAATTTCTGAAAACATGTAACGCTAACGGAGCAGTAGAGTAATGTAGCGTGTGGAATGTATTTCACATAACTTACAGTTCAATTTCAACATGGCCTTTTTTGCAACCACGCTTGACATAGAGCCCAACCTTTAAAAAAACAAAGCACCATTCAATAATCATCATCAACAAATGCAGTATCTGCTATGTGAGCTCAATTCAAAGTATCATATTTTGACTGTTAAAGGGGCGGGGAGATGAAACAACAGTACATGCGCTGCAACAGAGCAATGAAAGATTTTCATAGAGGCATGCTTATCACCACTTACAGCTTGTTTACCAGTCTGCTAACATTATGTTTATTTGCTGGTCTTTTGAAAAGAAAACAAATCAGAAATATGTTTGGAGTGCATCAATCAATGACTTGCATTGCTCTGTGGCTTACCTTATCACCTCTGCCAAGAACAGCTGTCTTGCCAGCCAGACACAGACAGATGGCACACACAATGCTGGACTTTCCAGTACCATTGGCCCCGACAATCATGTTCAGATTAGGTCCAGGATGCACCACAGAGTAGTCGTACGTTCTGTGAGTACAAGGTAGACATTCAGGGGTTTCCTGCAGTGTTTTAGAGCAAAGATGCTCCATCTCGCCTAAAATAATTGCAATCTACACTAACAGTGCAAATGAACGTAATAACATAAAAGTGGCAATACTGCTATCTTACACTTCAAATGGCTGTCTGTTAGTGAGACCTGAAGTTTCCCACATACGGTACCTGTTCATCTGGTCATACTGCTTAAGCATTTGTGACAGGCAGACTCACAGTGAAATACTTATTTACAACCACTCTTATCCCTGCACAGTTACTGCAATTTTGGAGGCTGGTTGACAATAATACAAATATGTATTACAGATCAACTAGTTAATAAATGTAGAATAGTCTGTATAGCAATGAATGTTTACTTAGTCTGCCATAATTTTCATTTTAAAAAACTTACAGGCAGGTATGGATGACAGTAAGATGAAAATTTATACCAGTAACTGACTCTTGGTTAGTTTTCTGAGTGGAAAAGAAGCTCTGAACAGGTTATCAATATCTACTTATCATCTCTGAGTGTGAACATGGTTTAGAAACAGACTGAAAAAAGGGGATGCATGTAAATCGCTGTTAAGCTCCACTGCCTTTTTATACAGAATTTGTAAGACTGGGGGTACAGGATTTTTATTGACTGGCTGGATTTGGCACTTTGCTTTAAGCTAGAGCTGCCTGTGATTCTCATCCCCTTGAAGTAGAAAGCAATGGAAACAGGCGTAATGATAACGAGTTCTTAATGGGGAACCCCTTCTTTAATATATCGAGTCTATTTTAACACCCGCCTTGAATGTGACCCCTTAAATCGTACAATTAGATAGGAAAGCTCACTAAAATACCTCATTTGGACTTAACTGTAGCTGCTGGACCATATAGTCGGTCTGTAGCAGCTTCCATCAGTGGGTCTACGACCTGCTCGTGTTTACAGGGCTCAGGGTTTAACTTTTAATTGCAAACTGGTGGAAAAATGTTAGCATATATGCTATCTAGGTCATCTGGCTGTAGCTATCAGCAGGTAAATCGGGGTGTTCCGGCAGTTTCACTTTACAGACGTTGACCGCTGTCAACTGGGGAGCAGCAACTTACAGGAAGTTCTTCATGGTGATCCGAAGTATGGATCCCTCCACAAATCGACCCTCCCCCTCGAGTCCCACGTCCTGACTGTCCGTGAAAATGCTCGATAAGCTTTTACTCGAAGTTTGTGAGCTGCTGTTAATGTGACTGAGCCTCTGCCGCTTGCTGGGCTCGGCCATGGTGACTGTCACTACCCGATCCGTACCGGAAACCCGATCGGTACCCCGCATGCGC